CGGGTGGAAACACAAAATTCTGATTTTGCAAGGGCAACCACTATTCACGTGAATAGTGGCTGCCCTAACTCCCCCCCTTGCCATGGCTAAGGGCAAATGGGTGGAGTTGCTCTAATAATAATGAAGAGGTCTTAGTCAAAAAGTATAAGTTCCATCAAGTATTAAAAGAACGCACATCTAGGAAAAAAAAAAAAAACAAAGACGAGAAGTTGCCTTGAAAGTTACCCTTATTTCAACAACTTGTAGGTACCTTCGCATTACAAAGAAACTGCTTCAACCGACCGCTTTTGCAGCTGCCAATGTGCACTATCTTAAAGCAATTTATTAAGCAGTGCCTTTACGGAGAAACTTTCTAACATTTACTGAATTATTAGGGTCATATCAATTTCACATAATAAATTACTTGGAAGCCGAGTTATGTATTTTCTATTCTTTTCTCCTGCAAGATACAGGTTGATAAAAAAAATTAAATTAAATAAATAAAAAGGCAGTGAAGGAATAAACAGTTGCCCTTTTTCTTTTGATGTTAAGAGGTGGATAGGCCGTATTATTGGATTGAGTTGATCAAGGGCGTGTTTGTGATCTTGTCAACTACCTTTACTTGTATTTTGACAACTGAGGTTTAGGTTCTTTTCCGTCATCTTTTGAGTTGTTGTTTTGGATGTTTTGAATTGTGTTCCGAAAAGAATCTGTTTTCTTGTTGGAACCTACTGTAAATTTTGTACTCTAGTGGGTTTTGTAAATAAAAGGTTGCTTGTGAATATAACAAGTTTACGTTTCCGCACCGTTTTGAAAGTCTTATTCCTAACTCAAAATCCTTACGTTCTATTGAGAACGTACTGTTATGATGTTAGGTTCTTAACAGTGTAGTACTACATTGTCGATAGGACGTGGCGCTATTACGTGCCTGATTTTCGGGGCGTGACATCAACTGCACCAACAGCATCCAAATATCATATGTAGACATGGAAATTTTGGTGAATTAAATTCCATTAAGTAATAAAATAATTAAGGTTTGGTTGATTAAATTGTTGGACCCATAATTCGCTCATATGGCGTACAACTCATCAAATTCGGATTAGTCGTGAAAAGTGACACGTGTTGACATCCGACAGAGTGCATCAAACGGTTCAAAGTGAAGACAAAATTAAAGGAAAGAATCTTATGTGATTGACTTTGATTAAAATCAAATATTAATCAAGTCAATCAATCGAAGATAATTTGGTTAAATTGCCAAATTATCGGAATTGATTTTAAATCAAATCAAAATCCCACAAAGCATGTTCCTAAAGAAGGAAAGCTATTTAGGTCAAGCATCCTGCAGGGGCCTATAAATAGGAAGCCTCAAGACGAAAGAAAGGGGCTTAGACAGACCAAACATTCAGAAGAAACAGAAAACTCTATGCATTCTTTACCTCACTTTGGAAGAGCCACCAAGCACAATAAATACGTGTCAGTTCCTCCACCCTAGAAAAAATCCAAACACCAAACAAGCTTTGTGCTACCCGTTTGATCAAGATCAAATCTCTACGACCCTTGTATCAAACACAAATTTTCTTTAAACACTTTGGAGATCGAATCAGAGTATTTAATACAGAGATTGTAACCCTAAATTCATTAATACAAATATTATTTTGTACACATGTTCTTGTCTCATTTGTCACAGGATTTTCTTGTTTACATCATCAACTAGATTACCCACATTACTCAACCACCCATCAGTGCCATTAATCCTATTCACAGCTTCTTGTGAATCAAAAGCGGTAGTCAAATAA